GAAATGCTAAACATGAGAAATTAAGAAAAGTATGGAAAAAATTACACAGAGTCAGGAAAACAACATACATAATATCATGACAATGTATAGAGAAAAAATAAGATCTACAAAACATTTTTTAAAAAATCAGCACTGTAAAACTATAAAGAACAAGCTTGGCCCCAAATAAAAGCTTTGAGTAGAAGGAGGAAAGGGTAGAATACTGCATATTATATGAGGTTTTTCCCAATATATTGATCAGTTTTATTTTTTTTTCTTCTTTACTTTCCTCTTTATCCTTTTTATTTTTTTAAAATATTTGTCTCACAAGGGAAAGCTTTTGGTAAGGAGAGAAGGGAAGAGATACAGGGGAAAATTTAGGCAATGTGAAAACAAAAGATATCAATGAAAATCTATTACTTTAAAAAGAAAGGAAATCTGAACTAATTCAGTTCTTATATGTAGCCTTAAACATAATAAAAATTACAGGATCATTACATCTATTTATTTATTTTTTTAAACAATTAATTTACTTTTAGTTTTCAACATTCACTTCCATAAGATTTTGAGTTTTAAATTTTCTTTCCCTCTCTTTTCTCCCCCATCCCCAAGACGGCCTGCAATCTGATATAGGTTCTACTTCCACATTTCATATTAAACATATTTTTACATTAGTCATGATGTAAAGAAGAATGAGAACTAATGGGAGGAACCACAAGAAAGAAGAAAGAAAACAACAAAAGAAAAGGAGAGCAAATAGTATGCTTCCATTTACATCCAGATTCCTAAGTTCTTCCTCTGGGTGTGGATAGCATTTTCCTTCGTGTGAGTCTTTTGGAATTGTCTTAGATTCCTGCATTGCTGTGAAAAGCCAAATCTATCAAAGTCAGTCCTCACACAATGTGGCTGTTATTGTGTACAATGTTCTCCTGGTTCTGCTCATTTCATTCAGCATCAGTTCATATAAGTCTTTCCAGGTTTTTCTGAACATTACATCTATTTAAAAGTTGCCATTTAATTTCTCTAACCATGACTAAATAACAGTAGTACTCCTTTAGGGATTGTTCAATGTGGATTAAAATTTGGAGGTGCTGGATATTGTCACTAACATATGAATAGCTATCTCTTGATCTCTCCCACTACTGAAAATTAAGGGTTGAGCTTACTCCTGCAATAATTCTCTTGGTACTACTATAACAGTACATGTTTGTTGCCCCTATTTGTAATGTATGAACCTTTAAGGAAAACTTTCACAACGGAAAACCAATTATTGAACTAAATTGATACTGAACTAAATCTTTAGAAGGCTCATGGGAGAACAGGAAAGGAATTTTTCCATAGCAGGAAGAAAATAGTCTTTTGAAGGGGGCTGGATCCTTTCTAAATATAAATTTCTAGTAAGTGTTACTAAGTTGCCACGATATCAAATTATAGTCAGCTAAATATACCATTCAAATTTCTCTGAATAAAATTAACATGCCAACATATGCCCTATTAAAAGGGACTACTTGAGAGATAGTTAGGAAGTTGCTTAAAGATATGAGTAAAGTGTCCAGAAAATAATTGTTATATGTAAAATAAGGAATCTTTTAATTATTGCTTCTCCACTGTCAATATGACTTTACAGGTCCCTTAATAACTCAACAAACATGTATTAAACATACACTTATAAAGATACTATTAACTGCTGTATGAAAAAATGATTGCTCTTTTAAGGAACTCCCAATCCACTAAGAGGGCATATAACATGTACACATATAAGTATGATATGATATATACAAGGTAGAAGACGAAAAGGCAGCAAAGGAGAAATCCAGACAACAGGAAATCCATTCAACCCAAGACCAAGACAACTAATATTACGAGTGGGACACTATTTAAAGGCTTGCAAAGAAAGGAGAGAAATACATTAGAGGAAAGAATGCCATTCTGGCCAGATACTGGACGGTATGGGGAAGTAGGGACACAGTCTAGAGAGTCCAACAGTGTGGTGGAATTATGAGTGCCCTTCAACTCCTAAGGCTATCCAGTAATGGATAGAAAAAGAAGTTAAAAAAGAGAAAAAAAGCACTGATCATGCCTGGGCAGGACAGCACTGACCCCTATAATTTATTTAAATTGTCCCTAACCACTTCATTATGGAACGGTATTACTTTCCCCACCCAAGCCCCATACCTGCTCTTCTAATGAACTGGGAGCTCTCACCCAGCTTGCTAAGAAAATATGCAAGCAGTTTCAACAAAAGCTAAGAAAAAAAATTATCATACTCAGGCTCTGAGTCTGGGAAAAACAAGAGTGTGTACTGCAGGCAGAGGGAGAGGATAATGAAGATGATGGTAACAACAACAGCATTTATTGTTTTTTTTGTTTTTTTTTTTTTGTCTAGGCAATGGGGTTAAGTGACTTGCCCAGGGCCACAGAGCTAGCAAGTGTTATGTGTCTGAGGCTGGATTTGAACTCAGGTCCTCCTGAATCCAGGGCTGGTACTCTATCCACTGCACTACCTAGCTGCCCCAGAACAACAGCATTTATATAGCATTTTAAGGTTTGCAAAGTGCTTTATATATGTTGTTTCATTTGATCCTCAAAACAATCCTGTGAAGTAGGTACTATTATTACCCCCATTTTATAGATTATAAACTGATGCACAGAGAGGTTAAGTGACTTGCCCAGGATCACATAGCTAGTGAGTATCCACAGCAAGATTTGATCTTAGGTCTTCCTGACTTCAAGTTTTGCACTCTTTCTACAATGCCTCCATTTCAGTGACAGAATAGACAACCATCAAGTTTGCGTTGAAAATTTAACAAAACAAAACAGAGTAATAAATTAATTCCAAGATCAGAGCTACCTGTTACCCAAACCTTTCCCCATCATTTAACTTCTGGAGAATGGAAAAAGAAGCAAAGGAAATTATAAACTAAGGTATGAACTTGATAAAGTCAGCTCATAACATTCTAATTGTTCTTCCCTTTGTTTCTATAAGTGTATCAACACATAACTGTAAGTTTAATTTTCTTGTCTGTTTGTACATGGCAGTGAAAAACAAAATTAATCACTGCTAAAAATGGAGTCAGAAAAAAAAAAAGATAAGGGTGTCAGAATTTAACAGATTTCTCCCCATTTTCTCCAGCCTGGCCAGTTAGGTAAGGAGGGAAAAAAAAGAGAGAGAAAAAAAGATTCCTCATTACCAAAATTTGTTGCATTAAAGTGAAAACTAAACTCATAAATCAAGATATTCTGCCCATTCAAGGAATCCAATATGATTTTTATTATTATTAATTTAGTGGATTTATTGCAAATTATAGTGGAAGACAAATTGGGCTTTGAGGATGTTTTTCTCCATGGATCAAATTCTTATATCATTCGGGATACATGCATATCTTCCCACTGTACTAGATGATGCAGATCTTTCGAACTCTCTCACCTAGACTGTTATAACAGCCTCCTAATTGGTTTCCCTGCATCCAATCTCTCTCCTCTCCAATTCATTCTTTACACAGATGCCACACTAATATTCCTTAAGACTAGGTCTTAGCATGTCACTTCCTATTGCCTCTACAAGAAAATGAAAAATTCTTGATTTAGCAGTGAAAGTCCTTTGCAATCAGGACAAGTAAATAATATCATGAATTAAGAAAATTATTTTCACAAAAATGTGAAAGATGGATTGGAAAAAGACGGAACTAAAGACAGGGAGACCAGTTTAAATTCTATTATAATCCCGGAATCAGGAAGAACCCTGCCTTTGGCACATACTGGCTGTATGACTTTGAGTGAGTCACTTAATCTCTCAGAGCCCCAAGCAATTCTCTAAGACCACAAGTTGTAAGATGTTCAGAGAGTTTCTTCATGAGGCTTCCTCCTAAACCAAGGAAATCACAGATCCAATGGTTCTATGACCATGGCATGAAAAATTAAGGAACTATGAGTCAAGTTACAATAAAGAATGTTTAAAAAGAAATATTAATGCTATCAACAAATATTTCCTGAGGGTCAACTATGAGCAAAACAATATACTAGGTATGAAAAGACAATTTATAAAATTATTAAGGAGAGCATTAAGACAATCCTAAAAGGAAATTACAGAACTTGAAGCACAGAGACATGGAAAATGGGCACAGCTAATTAAAAACAAATACATACTGCTATAGACCTTCTTATAATACAGACAGTTCTTGCTTTATGTAAGTAGACTGTTCCATAGATTTCTACTTAAAATGATTTTTACATAATGCAAATTTGCCAGCAGACATGGGGAAGGGAGAAAGGGAGGGAGGAAGGGGGCCGCATGCCCAGAGAGGAAGGGGGCTGGCACACAGTTCAAGGACACATGGAGACTGGGGACAGATAAGCAAGAGCAGGAGGAGGAACATGAATGGGCCAAGGCCAGCCACAAGGGGGCCTGGCCAGAACCAAGAGGAAGAACATGTGGGAAGCAGATATGTGGGGGTTGGACACAGAAACAGGCAGGAGAAGATGAGTGACACAGTGTGGTACATTGTGTCAGGGATGGACATGAGCCTGGGACAGACACTCAGGACAGCAGATAGATGGAACACAAACACTTTGGGGCCAGACACACAGATGGGCTGGCAGAGCAGGGTAAAGTTCTCCTTTCTATGCATTGGAGGTCTCAAGCCAAGCCCCCCATCCAGGGTTGGCAGGGTCTCTCCTACCATCTACTCTTCTACTTTCACTTGGCCGGGGTGGAGGGGAGGGTTGGGGGTGTGTCTGAGAGGTCACAGAGTGCTGAGCCAAGGGGCAGAAACAGAGAGAGCATATTAATGTGCACTATAGTTAACATAGGTTTGTGGGGGCTTTTTGGAATGCGTATTTCTTTCAGAATTCTTTACATAAAGTTGAATTTGCATGATGAGAATTTACATAAAGCAAGAACTGTGCATAAAAATATCTCTGAGGAAAAATGAATTTATTTGAAAGTGCTCCAAGCTCTTTAGAAGGAAAGGATATCAATAAATCCAAGTTATTTTGTTATACTATTGTATAAAATAGCTCACCTGTACTTAAATTTCCTGGGATTTCGTCTTCGATCTCTACTATTGTGATAATGTGGACAAGCGTAGCCCTGACGACAGAGACGAGGTGGCTTTGGACACTGTTCAGTCTTGTAGCCACCTAAGACAAAATTGGTATCTGAAATAAAAAACAAAAAACAAATGCTTCATTTGCAAACAGCCACCAATTAATTAATATTCACTTCATCAAATTCAAATGCATTTATAGAGTTCCTGTCATTTACTACCTCTGTATGACCTTGAACAAATTACTTAACCCCTCTGGCCTCCAATTTTCTCACCTCTAAAATGAGGGGATTGGATTAGCTGGCCACTGAAATCCCTTCCAGTTCTAAATCTACAATCTTATGTGCCCAGGACTATGGATACAAATAGAAAAAGACAAACCCTCTGATCATGAAGCTTCCATTCTACTAGCCAGTTAGAAAGTACCACTGTCTCAGGATTGAAGGAATATCCAATGTTTTATAAATATTGTTGATTTTTTTTTAAAGATGCCATATTATGTTTGATGAGGCTGGGTAGCTTTTTCATAGAAGAAGGATATTGGGAAAAAGGAAAAGAAGGTAACCTGTCATGATTTGCAGCTGTGAGTAGTACATAATAAACCTCAGTGGGAAATGAAGCAATGACTACTTTCAAGCACTCTAAATGTCTTCTGAGTTGAAATTCAAGTATATAAAATTCTCTACCAAGGACAAATTCAATTTTATTAAGAAAAACATGTCCATTAACCACATAAGAGGGCATGGAGAAGAATGGCTTTGTGACTAAAAAAGACTTAAAAGCGAAAAATCTAAAAAACAAAACATTTATTAAACAAATATTGTGATTGCTATACCTGAGATACTATGAAATGTATAGATTTAATAAATGTTGCTTAAATTCGAGACAGGAATTGTGTACAAGAAACCTTAAAGCTACAAACAAGCAAGGGGAAATTCTACGCTGGGTTTTACTCTAACAGGAAAGAAGTGATGCTGGAGTGGAAATAATTGGTAACCCTAAAGGGAACTAACTATTCCCTCCTAGAGTTTGTGATAAAGGAAAGAAAATTTAAGTATATTTGAGAAAGCAGGTTTCAAAGAGTTCAGAGCAAGAGGGAGGTGGGATCCCGTGGGCTAAAATGCTTCAGAGAAGGGAGAGGAGACGTTCAAGAATAAAATTCTGAAGACACACAGAGAAATACCAGTGAGAAGGAAAAAAGTATCTGTCTGAAGAGACTGGTGTTGACGCAGAGGGAACTCATCAGACAGGTTGGGCTTTTAAAAGAAATGCTCAGAAAACTAAAGCAAACAAGCTCAGGTAATAGAGAATTAATATAAAAGCACAGCAATGTCATAAAAATAGTGTCAGAAATGCTAAAACTTAAAACTAACTTGGGCTGAAGATGGGAAGTTAAGAACAAAAACAGATTTTTAGCTCTACTGGTAGAAAAAGGAGGGGCAGAATCTTTGCTTGGGGTTATGGGGATAATTACAGCTGGCTGAGCGTTCAGTTCTAATTTTGTTTCTGTTTTCCCTGACAAAGATAATGACTTTTATCTTGGAAACGAAAGAAGAAAAATGGCTAATAGGGGGTTGACACTCAATATAAGTAAGGAGATAGTAAGAGAGTATAAGTCACCTGGCCCAGATGAACCACATCCTTGGGTACCAAAAGAACATGGAAAATAGAGTTATTAAGTACCGCAAGATATGGGAAAAGATCAAATGTACCATTTTTTTAAGGGTATAGAATAGCCTACAAACTATAGGCTAGTGAGTCTGACTTCAATTCCTGGGAAAATTCTAGATTGGATCAATAAAGAGATGGTTAGTGAACTAGATCTAGAAGAGAAATGATTTACAAAGAACCAGGATGGATTAATTGAAGAATAGGTCAAACCACTCTAACTTCACTTAATAGCAATGCTATGGATATAGTTTACCTAGATTTTAACAAAACTTTCAATACTACTCTTAAAGAGAAGGTGCAGATTAGACAGTATAATTAGATGAATTTGAACTATTTGGATTTCTCAATATGTAGCTGTTATGGATGCAGCATACTCCAAGGATCTATACTTGCCCCTGTGCTATTTAACATTTTTATCAATTGCCTTAGATAAAGGAAAAGTTTATTCATCAACTTTGCAAATGACAGAAAGCTAGCAGGGATAGCTAACACACTGGATCAAGCACTATCCAAAAGAATCCTGACAGGATAAAACACTGGGTTGTATCTATTAAGATAAAATTCAATATGGATATATGTAAAATCTTATACTTGGTTATGAAAAAAAATTAACTTTATAAGATGGAGAAGGCATGGTTAGACAGCAGTTCTAAAAAAGATCTGAGAGTTTTAGTGGAATGCAAGTTCAATATGAGCCAGCAGTGTAATGTGGCAGCCAAAAAAAACAAAACAAAAAAAAAAATCAACCCCAAACACACAAAAACAAACCCAAGAAAAACAAAACATGTTGGGCTGCATTAAAAGGGGCGTACCTTCCAAAAACATAGAGTTAATGCCTTCACTGGACCCTGCTCTCGTGTGACAGTGTGCTTAGTTCTTGGCAACAGGATAAGAAGGACACTGACAAGCTAGAGAGCATTCAGAAAAGGACAAAAAGAAAGTCACTGAGTCCATGTCATGTAAGAACTGGTTGAAAGAATTAGGCATGTTTAGAAGACAGCTGTCTTCAAGTATCTCCTCTGGAAAAATTAAATTCGTTCTATTTGGTCTCAGAGAGCCAAACCAGGAGTGATGAGTAGGAGCTACAAAGAGACAATGAAAGCTGTGCAGAAGTAGAATGAGCTGCATGGAGAGGTGGCAGATTTCTTCTTGAAGAATTAAAACAGAGGCTGAACAACCACCTGCCAGGCATGCAGTGGTATAGTTTTCCTTTTGTGTATGGGTTGGACTAAATGGCCTTTGAGTTTCCTTCCACATCTCAAATTTTTTGATTCTTTCCTGAAATACTCAATGTTTTTCATCTCAGAGACAATACAGAGCAATGGAGTTTTTGAAAGGAGAGTGACATGGCCAGATGGACTGGAGAAGCAAGAGATAAGGTAGTGTGGACTCTCTATACGTTTAAGACCTGCCTGGAACCCATGCTAGCTATGAGACCATGAGCAGGACGCTAAACCTCTTGGTGGCTCGAGGCAAGTCTATACTACTGATGAGCTGGAAATGTCTATCTGCATCAATTGGAGGTAGGGAGGAGGTTTCTCACATTAGAGTTTCCTCTAATCAATTAAATCATGGGTCCACTGCAAAAGAAAAAAAAAATAATGTAATGAAATAGGATCATGCCATAAGAAAGTGTGCTAGAAATTAAAAGAAACATGGAAAAACCCAAAAGAAATGAGGAGAACCAAAAAGTATAAACACACTGACTTCAACTGCATAACTGAAGACAGCACTTAATAGCAATGACACTAAGGTTAAATCCAATCAACATTAATAGTACCTAAACTAAAAAGAAGAAAACATTCATGTCCTTTAACAAATGGTAAATAAGAGAGAATAGACAGAAGAATAAAAGAGAATAATAATGAAGAATTCTCTAAGATAGTAAGTTACAAAACAACTGATTTGATAAGTAGAAAGAGAATCCTCACAGGTACTTCACTACACCAATGGAACCACAGGTCTAGACAAAAAGACACAAGAAGCATATGGATTCATGCACAATCACTCTCAATGAATTTTTTGTGCTATTTTGCTTAAGGGTTTTGATTTTTTTTTAACATTTTTTGCTGAAAATAATTATCATTTTAAAAAGAGATAATATTTACATACTGCTTTACAGCCACAAAATATTTTTATCCCATCTCCTCACAACAAGAAAGACCAGTACAATGATTAAAAAATAAAACACAGAAAGAGTAGTACAAATACAACTGCTCTAATAAAAAGATGAGGGTAGGGAAGCAATGCAAACCTTTTCTAAGAAAATCAAGGCTCAATGACGTCAAGTGACCTGCCCAAGATAATTCAGCTAATAAATGGCACAGCCAAGATCAGAATGCAGATCCTATTCCAAACCCAACATTCTTTTTGCTATAGCACACTGCCTCATAAGACAAATAATGAAAACTGGAGTGAAATCAAATGAAAATGTGGAAGGTTTTATTCAGTTTTTAAAAATTATATGGTATTCAGCTGCCATGATTCCTTCAGGATGGGTATTAGACCTCTACCAAAGAAGATGACAACTCCTCTGTACCTCAGGAGACTGCCTTCATAAGCTACCATTACTGAGAAAATGCATCACCTGACAGCCAAATTACTCCTGATAACCCTCTCCACATTTAGCAAGGCTAGCCAACAGATGAAAGACATTAAATCTGCTAAGAGGGAATGTACTCAAAGCCTTTCTAACTTGACAGTAATTGCCAGAGCTTATATTCTATTGGAATTGGTCTTCAAAAAAACCCAAACCATGATAAAGCACCACGGTAGGACTTCTGGTGGAGGATTTGGTATTCAAGCCTATTTAAATATGAGGAACTCATGTTAATTCAATTGAAACATCTCTGATGTGCTAGGCAGCGGGGTGGTATAGTAGATAGGGTGTTGGACTTGAGAAAGAAAGTAGAATTAGATAAAGAATTCAGAAAGACCTGAATTCAAATCATAACTCAGACAATCATTACTTGTGACCCTGTGGGCAAGTCACTTAACTCTCAGCCTGTTTCCTCATCTGTAAAATGGGGATTAAAAAAAAGCAACTACTTTATAAGGTTGATGTGAAGATCAAATGAGATAATATAGGATGCAAAGCACTTTGCAAACAATAAAGTATTACTATTGGCTATTATTGGCTATTATTATTGGCTATTGGATATTATTATTAGTAGACACCGGGTATTGGCTATTATTATTAGTAGACACCGGGAATTAAAAAAAAAAACAAAAAACAACAGTCTCTGCTCTAAAGGAGTTTAATAACAATGATGATGGTGTTAATAATAATCCTAGCTGACATTCCTCCTCTCTGGCCACCTCCCTCCACACTCTTCTTACCAACAGCCTGGCTCTGAAGGAGCTTCCACTTGGGCCCTCTACTCTCCCTATTGATGAATGCTTCATCTAGAACCCTATTTTTGGAAAGCCCTAGGTATCACTTCACTATCTCCTCTACTGCCTCTTAACCCACTTTCCTTTCCTCTCCCCCCAATCCCTATTTCTAAAGTCATGGTCAAATTAAATCTTGTTCTTGGATACGGTGTGTCAGTCTACTATCCTCTCCAAACCAAAATAACCCTCTTTGGCTACCATTCCCCTAAGCTGTTTTTCATTGTAATGTAATGTCTTTTTGAAGAGAAAGACAATGTTTGCTTTAATATTTATATCCCCAAGACTTCACACAATGCTTGGCATATAGGAAGCACTTAATACTTTTTCCATTCATTCATTCATATACCCACTTGAAGGTTTGCAAAGCACTTAATGTACATAACTCATTTAACCCTAACAACAACCCTGTGAGATAGTATTTTAATTTTCCACTTAAGGAAACTGAGGCTCAAAGAGATTAAGTGACTTGAAGCTAATAATTATCTAGGGCAGGATTCAAACTCAGTTCCTCAAGGCCAGTCAGTGCTCTATACCAAACTTCTTTTCTATGACGGAAGGAAAAGGAAAGACCTGTACAGAAATGAGGTATGATCTAAAGCAGACTGTATAAAAGGCAAAGGAAAGGTTCAAAGTAACCTAAGCATAACTGAAGAGGGAGAGATCCCACTTCATGTTCAGCAGAGGAAAGTGAACAATCGTAATCAGAAAGGACTTCATGGAGGAAGTGGCAAGCAAGTTGGGTCTTGAAGTAAGAGAAGACTTTCAAAAGGCAATATGAAGTACATGCCAGTCGTTGTAGAGAGTGTGAGAGGGAGGACGAAAATCAAAGAGCAGCTAGTAGTCCAGTTTAGCTAAAATAGAGTGCATGAAGAGAAACTAAATGAAAAAAGGCTGAAAAGATTGCTCCAATAAGATTGAAATGAAATTATGGAGGGCCTTAAATAACAAGCTAAAGAGTCTCTATTTTATCTTATATGAAATGAGAAGCTACTCAAAGTTTTTAAGTGAGATAGTGCTAAAATCAGACAAGAACATTAAGGATGCTACTGCAGCATATCCTTGGAGGAGACTGTAAAGGGGAGAGATGAAGCAGAAAGGTTATTAAATAGCCCTTACCTGATCAGAATCCATTAGACAGACTTAAAATAACCCTTACCTGACCAGAATCTATTAGATAGACTAGTGGCATTAAAACAAAGTAAACTTTCCTCCATGAGTTCAGGGACTGGCTCACAGCCTCTCTCTCCACTCCAATTCCTGCCCTCATACTAGAGAACTTAACATATATAATGACAGTCCCTCAAGAACCCCAAACTCACAGTTCCTCAACTTATTCACTTCTGACAATCTTCTCCTCCACTCCCCAACAAAAATGTTCATATTTTTGATCTTGCTGTCATCCACAGATGCTCCACCTCCCTTTTTGTGATCTCTGAAATTCCCTTACCTCATCAGAATCTACTGTCATTCTATTTTTGCCTTGCAACCCCAAACCTTGTTCTCCATTCACACAGGGACTTCCAATCCCTTGACCCCTTCAGTTCTCTCCCAGGCCATCACTCCTGCACTAACCACACTCTTCTCCATTCCCCATCTTGATCCTTGGTGAACCAATTAAATTCCACACTGTCCTCTTTTCTTAAGTCTCTTAGCCCCTTATCGTATGGCCAATTCCCTCCTGTCATCTGCCACTTTCACTCCCACACATGTACTGCTGAACAAAGTTGGAGAAAATCATGAAACTGTGCTGACTGCAACCATAACAAATTTATGTAACACAATCTTAACTGGGTCCTCACTAGTACTTTTACACCTTCCTAATAAACTCACTGTGCCTCCACAGAAGTTCTTCCAATCTGTTCATCCCTCCTCAAACCTCTCATGGCTTCCTCTCTCAGCTGAGACCCTTGCCTCCTATTTTAGTTTTTTAAACTTTAGGCAATTTGCCAAGAGCTTCTTCTTCCTCCTCTTCCTTACCTCACACTGCCCAAATGTCTTCTGCCAATATCTCCTCCTTCACCCTTATCTTTCCTGGATAGGTAGCCCTTCTCCTGGACAAGGTAAACCCTTCTATGTGAAGAAGTAATCTCATTCTATCTAGTCTCCATCAGCAGATCACTCTCTATCATCCTCATTTCTCACTTATCTTCAGTCTCTCCCTATCTGCTGGCTGCTTCCCTACTGCCTACAAACATGCATGTCTCCCTAATCTTCCAAAAACTCTCACTTGATAAACCCATCCATCCCTACTGGCTATTACTTGATAAATATCTCCTCCCTTTGTGGCTACACTCCGTGAGAAGGCCAACTATGTTAGGTACCTCTCACTTCCTTCCCACTTACTCTTAGTTCTCTACATTCTAGCTCCCAACCTCATCATTCAACTGAAACTGCTCTTCCAAAGTTAACTAATAATCTCTCATCAAATCTAATAGCCTTTTCTGAATCATCTTCTTTCTTGACCTCTCTGCAGGTTTTGGCACCATCTATCACCCTCTTTTCCTTGATACTTTCTTCTCTCAAGGTGTTCATGACACAACTCTTACCTCCTTCTTCTCCTATCTATCTATTTCTTTTCAGTCTTTGATGAATCTTCATCCAAGTCATGCCAACTAACTGTGATGTCCCACAGAGCTCTATCCTGGGCTGCCTTCTCTTCTCTTTCTATATTATTTCACTTGGTGATCTCCTCAGCAATCATGGATTCAATCAACTCTATACTGATGACTCTCAAATCTACATATCCAGCCCCAATCTCTCTGAAGACCTCCAATTTCTTATTTCCAATTGCCTATTGAACATCTCAAACTGGATGTCTTGTAGCAATTTAAAGTCAATGTCCAAAATGGAAATCATTATCTTTTCTCTAAAACCTTCCCCCTTTCCAAACTTTCCTATTATTGGTGCAGATACCACCATCCTCTCAGTCACCCAAGCTCAAAACGTAGGTGTCATCTTCAACTCTTCTCTCTCATTCCCCATACCAATCTGTTTCCAGGGCCAATTTCACTTTTGCAATATCTCTTCCATGTGCCGCCTTCTCTCCCCTGACACTGCCACCACCATGGTGTAGGCCCTAATAACCTCACACCTGAACTCTGTAATAATCTGCTGGTTGATTTTCCTGCCACAGGTCTCTCCTCACTACAGGCCATCCTCCACTCAGGTATCAGATTGGTCTTCCTTAAGCACAAATCTGAGTATGTCACCCTCCCTACTGAATAAACTCCAGGGCATCCTTATCACCTCCAGGATCAAATATAAAATCCTGTTTGACTTTCAAAGCCGTTCGTAACCTGACCCTCTCCTCTCCCCCCCATCCACTTTTCCAGTCTTTTTTATACCTTATAATCACCTTCTCCCACATACTCTATGATCCAGCTCCTTGTTGTTCTTTGAACAAGACACTCCCATCTCCCAAATCTGGGCATTCTCCCTGTCTGGCCCCCATGCCTGGGATGTTCTTCCTCCTCATCTCTGCCTCCTGGTTTCCTTCAAGCTCCAGTTAAAATCTCACCTTCTACAAGAAGCCTTTCCTAACCCCTATTAATTCTACTGCCTTCCTTCTTGTCCTATATATAGCTTGTACATAGATGTTTACACATTGTCCCCCCCACTAGATTGTGAGCTCCTCCAGAGCAGAGCCTATCTTTTACTTTCTTTGCATCTCCAACACTTAGCATAGTACAAGGCATATAGAAGATACTCAACAAATGTTACTGACTGGTTGATTGAAAAATATTCAAACAAAAATAATATTAAAAATAAAAAAAACTATTAAAACAAAAATATTAAATGCAAAACTGAAGCACAGAGGCAATAGTTCAAGGTGGCATGTTTCAAGACAACTCCAAATAATGCAATGAGTCTTACAACAGGACCTGTTTCAAATAGAATGGTCTATAAAAGTTAAGCAAAAAAATCAAAGCCAGAACTTCTTCCTTACACAAGTCTGTAACACTAAAATAAATGTCATTCACACCCTAGCAATGCAGAATAACCAACAGATGGGTTTACTATTTATGTACATACAATGTTTTTGTCATCAGATAAAATAACAGTTAGTGGAAAAATGTGCAGTGTTTTCAATAATTCCCAAACTGCTCACAACTAGAAAAGTTTTGTTTTTAATACCAATATTCTTCCAATGATGCTATATGGCTGCAAATCAAGGGACACAACGATCTCAGAAAAATTAAGGTTTACAATTCCACTCCAAGGGCAATGGCAAATTACATATAGTTGCAGGCAAGTTGTATACATGTTGTTATCAAGGACTTACATTTAAGAACTGGAGTAAAAGATATCATTAGGAACATGTATGACTAAAAGGTGAGAGCCAGTAACATCAAGAAAGAGACAGAACTGACAGTAAAGGTGAATAGTATACTGATACCCTCGAGATGAAAAAAAGAAGAAGCCCTCCACCATACCCTGTAACATATCCATACGGCAGACTCATAGCAAAACAGAGACAACAGTATAGTGGAAGGAGTACCACATAGATGAAAACAAAGATTACTAACAATATTAAGGGTATAAAAATGTCCCTTTAATTCTAGAAACCCCCCAAAATGATAATATTGAATCAGTGCAAACATATACGTCCAAAACACAGGAAGAGTTTATTTTGGGGATGGTACAGTGTATTTCAATTCACCTTTACGATTAAGTCCTCAACAAAACCAACACAAGGACAGATGCAGCAAGAGGTAAGGAGGCTGAAGGATAGAATATTACCTTGCCACCTGGGATCTTCCCCAAGGATTTTTTCTATCATTGCCTGGCTAGCTAAGACTCCAGGTTGTAAATCAGGAATGCTGTCGCCACTGCCCAGCTGGCCATTTTGTAAGGCTTCTTGTGCCTGAAGTTCCCTAAAATCAAACAAGTCAGTTTACAGATATTAAATCGTCAGACTCCCTTTCTTTAAAAGTCTTTAAATAAAATGTTTAAATTCATTTTATTATGTCACTCTTTGGAGCCCTAAGATCCACTAAAGACAGCTGCTACCTAGTGTGTCCTGGATAGTTGATGTCACTAGCAGGAAACCAAGGAAACCCCCCCCAACACTCCTGGGATCCCACATATCACCTGACTCCCAGAGGCTTTATTAAGGACTTTATTTCCTAAATAAGTATCAGAATGTATTTTGAATTATTAGCTTCTTTTAGGGATGTTATCTCACAACATAGTATATTTAGTAGGTTCCCTGAAGTTAAATTCAGCAGTATTAGTGCAACATAATTAGTAAAACATCCTATAAAAAATAAAATAACTGCTCAAAAGTTTAACTGTTTAGGCAAATGATCATCAAAAAAGGTGGTACCTAAACTGGCTCTACTGTAGAAACCACTATAGAACAGTTACACAAATGAGGAGCTTGGTTACAACACTTGGTTGAAAAAAGATTAATTCACCTTATATCATATACTGGTGGTCTAAGATCAAGAGGGCCATGAGCAAAGGCACAATGGAGTCCATTCTTCACACAATGGCCACGAGCATCTGTTTCATGTATACATGTACCAGTCTTGTAATATCTGAGATGATACTTTCTTTCAGTGTCCCCAGTGGTCCGATGTAAATAAGGACATCTGCAAAATAGGAAAACAAAATTATATCCAGTTCTTAACAATCTTATAAAGTATTAGTTCTAATATAGCCTCATTTACATATTTGGTCCTTAGTCAACTCTAATTTTCTTCACTATGGAAGCTGAAAAGGAATTCTTCCACCTATGGGTACTTTTGATAATTAAAGCAGTTACTTGATCACTTAGCTCAGTGTAAAATTATCTAATATACATTACAAATATATCACTGATAAAAGTTAGATAATATTAAAATAGAAAAGTTACTTTCTTATTAAATAATCTCTATAATACATCTGAAAGCTAGTCAAACTAAATCACTTAGTTTACATTTATTAGCATTCAAAGAATAAAAGTTAATGAAAACACAGTAGGGTAACCATGTTTTTTACATTACTATTATGTCAATTGGTATGGAACAGTACAATTTGTCTTCCCTGGCCAAGGGGAAAAATCTCTCACCTAGACTAACACTGAATAAAGTGATTAACTTCAATGAGATCAAAAAATGCCTCATGAGCATCTTTAAAACAGGCAAAATTGAGTATCTACAACCTGAACAAGTAGTAATTGGGCACCCGCTCTGAAAGATTTCAAACCAGTCCTCTCCCTCAAATAGAGAGTCTGTTAAGTTAAAAATATGAGGATCTCAGGTACTTTAGGTTTAAAATAGGGGGCATGTAAGATAATTTTAAATGAAAAAGCTACATTATATTTTTAAAAATAAACTTCACATGTTATAAAATATATTAAAATTTATTATTTAATTCAATAGACATTTTCTATGCTCCTACTATATTCAAGATATTAATGCTAGGAACCAGAGATACAAAGAAAAAAAGAATTTGCTGTTAAGTAGCTTATATTCTACTGAGGTGACACATTAACAGGTTAGTAAAAACAAAAAGTAAAGTGTACAAATTTAAAGAAGGAGTGATGACCTGCTATTAATTGCCTGATTCATAGAGTCAATCTGTATTTTCAAGGAAGCTAGGGATCCCACAAAGCTGAAGTGAGAATGGATGGAGGGCAGGGGTACTTGTATAAAAGCATGAGAGGAGGGAGATGGAATAAAAAGTGCTGGAAAAAGCTGGCAGGCCAATGTGACTAGAATGGAGAGTGTCTCAAGAAAAGTAATATGAAATAACATTGGAAAACTAGGGAGGATACAAATAATGGAGGGTATTAAATGCCACACTGAGGATTTTATATTTTTTCCTTGTTAACTCGATAAAGATGGGGGATGATGGGAAGGGAGAGGCAAATTAGAAAAGGATTATAACAATGCAGGTGAAAAGTGATAAGGGCCTAAACTTGGGGAGAAGCTATGTGAATAGACTGAAGGGGATGAATGAGAGGCCTTGTGGAGACACAATCAAGACAACTTGGCAAGTGATTAGATACGGAGGTTGAGGAAGAGAGAAAGTCAAGGATAACTCTGACATTGAGAACCTGGTAGAAAGATGGTAGCTTTGTCATTGGCAATTGGCCATTTAGAAGGGGGAGGTTTTTCATGGCAATGTGAGTTTCCATTTTGTACATGCTGACAACCGAGATGCCTACAGGTTATCAGGTGGTTATATCCAGCATACAGGTAGAATATGTGAATGGGACTAGATTTCAAGAGAGAGATTAGGGATACATATATAAATCTGGGAGTCATCCACATGGAGAAGAACTGAATCCATGATATATGGTATTGTTGGATTAGGAGGGAGAATAAAAAATGAGTAACTTAGGGAGAAAGATAGTCAGAGAACCAGATTTAAGGAACACAGAGACGGGAAGGAAAATAACAATAGAGACTTGGCAATCAGAACAGGGAAGAAAACGAGTGCACAATGAGGAAAGAGAAGTTAGAATTCCAATTTGATCCTGAAAATATGACTTCAATGGAAAAACAAAATCTTCCAAAGAATTTAACTGTACTTATGTTTACACCATTCTATCTTTTTACTTCCAAAGAATTGATTATCTCATTAAACTTTCAGAAGTTGAGAAAATGTGAAGTTACAACAATTTGCTAGTTAAAAAAAAAAGTCAGAGTAGACAAGCTCATGCCAACAGAGCAAAGCTCTATTTATAAATTATTTGGCCCAAATAAACATAGCGAAGTACTGATTTTTAAAATTATCTCACAAAATTAAGCTTCTTCACAGAAGCACAATTTACTAAAAATGGCTAAGAAAATTTTTTGCATCAACAAGAAGTTTTAAACCCCATAAAAAAGAGCAAGCAGAATAGTGACCACACTCTGACAGAATAGGACACTCAGTTCCTCCTAAAAAGTCTCAGAGCTATTGTTTAATATAAAGGTGGCTGTTCTCTGACTGTAATTTCCATCCAATGTTATTTCCTAAAGTTATCAGTGCTGCTGCCACTATCTGTATTTATTTGGAATGATCACAAAGACCTAACTCAGTAATGAGTGAACTGATATATTCTGAACTTCTCTATACTATTTTTTTATTCTCTGTGGTAGAAAAGAGTACCAGACTTGAAGTATGGAAAAGTTGGGCTCAAATCGTGCCTTAGTACTTAACTGGCTGTATAGTCCTGGAAGACTTACTTCACCTATCTTGCCCTTAGTTTCCTCATCTCAAAAATGAGGGGTTGGACCAGACAACCTATAACTTGACAGGTAAAGATATACTTTGCTTTGGTTCAGAGAGCCATTCTTGTACTCCATACAAGTAAAAGCTATGTAAAATGAACATTTTAAATATAGCAGAAATGTTTATTATTTGAAAGGTATTTTGCATTAAATCTTTTTATAACAGTATTCAATTCCTTTTCTCAATCCCAGATTTTTATCAGAGATTCTTAGCTGTTATTATTTACATTAAGTATTATGTGTTGTATATAAAACCACCAAAATAAAATAAAAACACACAATACATAGCTTTAAGGAACTTCTATTCCAAAACACCTCAGAGGCTTAATGCCAAATTTTTTAAATAAAGCCCTTGCTCCTCTGCTCTTCTTGTATTCATTTCATTTTGAATTAAGAAGCAGGGTATGATTTACCAGAAGAAGCTGAGACAGGAGAGTAAATAGCAAAAGAGAAACTATGTGAGTATGAGGGAAAAGGAAAGAGGGACTCTATAAGCAACCAAAAGGAGACAAGATATATTTAATGTCAGTGTTCCGATGGATACAGTGCAGTTCAAATTCCCTCTACTATTTTTTGGACTTTGTCACTCTGACAATAATAAGGCTAATCTGCCTACAAACACAACATTTCTTGGTCCCATTTAACTGTCATGTTAGCATCTTCAGTATCAAACCTTTGAAAAAGAGAGGCAGTGGGATTACCGGATAGAGTGCTAGAGTTAAGAGTCTAGAAGACCTGGGTTTGAATTCTAACTCTGGCATTTACTAGTCATGTGACCATGGGGTAGTCATTTCATTGAGGCAACTGGGCCTCAATTTTATCATTTGTAAGACGGGGATAACAAAACCCGTACTACCCATCTCTTGGACTTGTGAAGATCATGAGATTAATGTATGTAAAAATTTTATAACTTAAGTACAAAGTAAATGTCAGCTATTATTAACAAGAAATCAATTCAACAAGTATTTATTAAGTGCCTACTATGTGCCAGATACTGGGCTATGTACTGGGCACACAAAGAAAGACAAAAAACAGTTTATGCTCTCAAGAAGCTCAATCTAATTTAACTTCCTTCTTTGTAAGCTCATTCAATGCTGCTAATAAACAACCATTAAAAGAGCAGCTTTGAATAACTTTACTATATACTCTGACAGAGTATAGGGCACCAGAGGTAATCTTTTCACTCAGCACCCATAGGATACAGCTATGAGATGACTGGATCAGGGAGGCAGTCTATGACAGTGGAGCAGTTGTGTATGAAGCTAACTAGTCTGGACAAGGAATCAAATTTGTGATCTTGGCCTCAACACCACCTAGGTTTTCCTCCTGTACAAAAAAGTTCCTCCTCCCTTTATCAGAAAATCTACATAATTAAAGCCCAGGAGGAAAGTCAAAGCATAATATACATTGCAGCAGATGCACTAGGCTTATGTAGCAGATAGGCTGTGAAAGGTCAAATGGTCTTATCCTTCACCAACACATTCTATACCATACAGACATTAGGGTATAAATTTGGTGACCCTATTTGTAGCAAAACCTCAAAGTAGGAACACAGAAATGAAACTGAAATTAAATCTAACTCCCAGATTTTAAAGATGAGAAAATTGAGACATTTATAAATGACCAATATTGGATTCAGGTCTTTTTCAACATTCTATCTTACAGGAAAAAACCCTATGGCTTTTCTTTTACCCTCAAAGTTAAGTCTACCCCATCTACTTTGACTCTTAGTTACATGCAAAATTATAAAGTTGTAGTTAGCTGATTAGCTAAATGACACCTGGTTACATGATTTTCCCAAAATTAATGCATCTAGATCTATTAAGTTTCATTCATAAAAAATTACTTCAGAAAAATATAATGCAGATTCATGATACTATTTACTTACAAAATGATCCAATGCAAGTCACATGTTAATCAAGTCAATTAATGTACATGAATACAAAAGATAAAATGGATCTAATGAAACTGAAAAGCTTCTGAATGAATTAGTACAATTAGAAAAAGAAGGGAAGAAATTGAGAGCAAAATCTTTTTATTAAATATCTCTGATAAGGTTCTGATGTCATAGACATATAGACAATTAAAAGAAATATAGATAAAAACCATTCCCCAGTAGGCCAAATATTAACAAACAGTTCTCAAAAGAAGAACTGCAAACTATGAAGGAATGCTGCAAATCACTAATAATCATCAAATCAAAATAAGTTAGATTTCACCTAACACCCAGCAAATTGGCAAAGACAACAAAAAATGGGAATAATTAATGTTGCAAGGGTTGTGAAAAGATAGAAACACTAATGCGTTCTTAGTAGAGTCACAGATTGGTCTAACCTTTTCGGAAACAACGGAACTATGCTAAGAAAGACAATGAAATGGCCATACTTTCT